GAGCGGTCCAGCTCGTCGCGCTGGAAGACAGCCATGGCACGTTGGTCACGATCGCGGCCCAGACGCCAGACTGCTGGCGCGCAAGGCTGCTCGTAGGCAGCCAAGCGATCCGCTGCGCGCATTGCGACCTCGAGGCTCCGCACCTGCGCTGCCTGCAGCGCCGAGAGCACATCCGTCGTCGACGTCATGGGCTTGCGTTGACTTTGCACCCATGGATTTGCACCAATGGCCTTTGTCCGCCTGGCGCACCATCAGAAGAGACGACGACAATGCACCTGGACGGCGATCGGCGCCTCGCCGAGCTCGTGCAGGCGCGGTCGATGGCCGACGACGCCGTCGCCCGCACGGCCGACCGCGCATCCGCCTTCACCAACAGCACGGCGCGCCAACGGGCGGCCACATCCGAGGTGGTCGCTGCGACGGTGACCAACGTCCCGTCCGAGGCCACCGCCGCCGACGTCGCCGCCTTTTGCCGGCAGCACGCAAACATCCAAGGCTTCCTCTCCGTGTCCATGGCGCCTTATCATCGCGGCCGACCGGGGCGCTCAACAGTCCACGTCGCATCGCAATACGAGCATGCGCGCCTGCTTCGCCTCGATGGGTTCCGATGGCAGCGACAGACGGTCTCGGTGCGCGCGGCGCACCCGATCAAGTGGTCGCTCTGCGCCGACGTTGTGAGCGAGGTCTTCTCTTGCTCATGTCTGCATGTCCTATCGACGGCGCAGAGCGCCCAACCCACGTACTCGGTCTCGGACGCCGTGACCTTGACGTGCTCGGCCACCGAAGCGACTGCGTTTGGCGTCGCGTTCAACACCGACGGGTATCGGTACCGCGTCTGCTTTAAAGTCACAAGCGTCGCCCGGTGCCGCGTCAGCATCAACCGATGTGGGCATGTCGTGGTTCGCATTACACTGCGCGTCCCGCCCTTCTGCTACGTCGGCGCGGCGTCGATGGACCGCGACCGCAGTTGGCCGATCGCCGATGCTCTCCAACCATGGCAGCGCGCCGACGATCCGTCTCCGAATGGCGCCTTTGGCGCGTGCCGGTGCTACCACCTCGTCTTGGTCAACGGTCAACTCGACCATGTCATTAACGTCGTGCGCGGCTTTGGCGTCGCCGACGTGGCGCGGGACAATGCAGCAGCATCTGTGTACGCCACCATGACGCGTGGCACCGACTGGGCCCACGGCTACGCGTCGTTCTTTCAGTCCTTTACGTTTCCGCTGCGGTATGCCCTCCACGTGCTCCTGTCGCAAGACGTGCTCCTCCTCTCGGACGCGCAGGACGCCGAGTGCATTGCTGCAGTCCTCGCTGCGTCCAATGCATCGGCGCAGCATGTGCTTGGCTTTCTCCAGTCGCCCACACGTGGTTCGCCGGATGCACCGATGGCGCTGCAGTCGTTCCTCGACTACCTTGATGCGACACCGGCACATTTCACGGTCGACACACCCGACGACGACAACGCGACGGCATACGGTGCCGAGATGGCACTCGCCACAGTCCCCGAGGTGCGTCGGGTGCTCGTGACACCATTACGCATCGTCGCCGAGCCACCGCAAGTCGACGTGTCAAACCGAATTTTGCGCCAATATGCACAACATATCGATCGGTTCCTCCGCGTCAGCTTCGTCGACGAGAATTTTGGCCCGCTCTACAGTGCCAAGAGTCGCCGACTTCTTGACAACCGTATTGCACCGCTGCTGCATGACGGCCTCGTCGTCGGTGGCGAAAACTACGTCTTTCTCGGGTACTCGAACTCGCAACTGCGCGTGCACAGCTGCTGGTTTTACCGCAATCCACCGACGGGGTCGACGCTCGTGCCGTCGGCGGCGTCGATTTACTTTTCGCAGGGGGACTTGCATGCGATTCCATCGGGCAGCAAGCGCGGCGCTCGGCTCGGGCAAGCGTTTAGCACGACGACATCGACGGTCGCCGTGTCCCCGTTCCGGTGCAGTGTGCGCGCCGACGTCACGCGCAACGGCTACGTCTTCTCGGACGGTATCGGTGTCATTTCGTCGACGCTTGCCGACGACATTGCGATGAAACTGCATCTCAACTACGTTCCGTCGGCCTACCAGATCCGGTACGGCGGCTGGAAGGGCGTTGTGAGCGTCGACGCCGCGCTGCCGTCGGCGACCACGGACATGGAGCTGCGGGATTCCATGCGCAAGTTTGCCTCGGAGCACGACGCGATCGAGGTGTGCAGCGTGCCACAAGTGCTGCCCGCGTACCTCAACCGCCAGCTCATCACGCTTCTCTCGACGCTTGGTGTCCGCGACGACGCGATTCTGTCGCTGGCCGACGACATGCTGCGGGAGACGGCGGCGCCGCTGGACACGCTGGCCAAAGCCATTCGGTTTGTAAAAGCGTACGCACCAAAAGCGCCGATCCGACGCCTTCTCGAGGCCGGGATCAGCATTCACGACCAACTCGTCGCCGACTGGCTGCACCTTCTGCGCCGCCACTTGCTCTACAGCGTCCAGTTCAAGGCTCGGATCCGTGTGCCCGACGGCGTCGTTCTCATGGGTGTGCTTGACGAGACCAACACGCTGCCCGAAGGCTGCATCTTTTTCCAGTCCAGTGGCATGTCTCGCTATGCGATCACGCCGCCGGCACTTGGCACGCGCTGCGTCGTCGGCCGCAACCCGAGTCTCCACCCGGGCGACCTTCGGATTCTGACATACTACACGGATGTCCCGGCGCTCCACCATCTCTACGACGTATTGGTCTTCTCGTCGCGCGGGGACCGACCCGTGACCGACATGATGTCGGGAGGTGACTTGGATGGCGATCTGTACTTTTGTCTCTGGGACCACCGACTCGTGCCGGCGCAGGATGTGCCACCGATGCCCCCGCCCCCAACCTCATGGGGCATTCCACCGCCGTCGTCCGCGCCCGGCATCCAGGTGCAACTGCAATCTCACATCGCATGAAACTAAATGCCGAGAGTGGTTAGGGTATCCAGGACCACTTTGTCCGGTTTCTCGAACACGACAACTTGGGCATGATTGCCAACATGCATCTCGCCGTCGCTGACGCCAGTCGCGACGGAGCCCACGACCCCAAGGCGTTGGAGCTCGCCCACGCGCACGCGGTTGCAGTGGATTTTGCAAAGTCGGGTGTCGCTGCACCGACGCCGACGCTCAACCTCTCGGCGTACCCCGACTTTATGGAGCGCTCGGGCCCGAAATACGAGTCCAAAACGGCACTCGGAGTGCTCTTCCGCCGGGCGCGGACCATCGCGTTGCGTCCGCAACCGACTGGCGGCGGCGTCGACTGGAGTGTGGTCGTGCCCGGGTACGAGGCCCACGTGTCGGACGCGCGCCATTGGTTTGTGCAGTACGCCCACGCGCTCTTTACGCTCTGCCAGCAGTACGGCATCGGGACCGAGGTCGAGCTCATCTCGGGCTACATCCAAAAGCTCTCGCGCAAGGTAGGTCGGGCTGAGCGACTGGACCCGGCCGACGACGCGGTCGAGCGCATCCGCGTGGCCGTGCGGTTTGTGCAAGAACACTATGCGAGAGTGTTTTGGCGCGGCCTCGAGGCCAAGGCGCCGAGTGACTTGGTCGTCTTGCGCAAGGCGTCGGCGTGGTACTATGTGGGCAACACGTACGACGAAGGCACGACACCGTACCGCAGCTTTGCGTGGCTGGCGCTCGAGCCTCTGTGTGTGCTCTTGGACCAGCGCTAGAAGTGTCCAAACCCATCCTGTTTCTGTAAGATGCTCACCCAGTGAACACACCATTCAATCACATGTTGTTTGTCAATCGCAGCAGAGGATGCAACTAGTGTTGTCGGTGGAGGATCACGGCAAGTCCTCCATGGACCGTCAGCGACGATACGGCGTGCAGCGCAGAGGCATCAAGCATGTGTCGCAAGGTCGGCGGTAGCACGTCGGTGAGCCGACAAAGCGAACTGCGTTGAGCACACTGGCAGTGACGTCCCGAAGTAATATATAGGACCCGTGGGCGAGGGCGAGGAACCTCGGGTAGCTCGCCCAGCGTAGCCTTTTCGTGGCACAATGACGCAGGAGATGCGAGCCTGCACGAGTACTACTCGAGCACATCCGCCTAGGACGCAGGCAGTGTTGGCGTCCAGCGGCGCTTCATGGACACCTTTTCCCACGCTGTCGTGTAAGACGTCAAGTGCGATCCATCTTGTGCATTAACAATTCATGTTTAGTAGTTGCTGCTGCTAGAATCGTTGCTGCTACGAGACTGTGTCGAGACACATGGTGGCGGGGTGGATCGCGCCTAGTTCGGGTTGGTGGTGCTGTCGCTGGCCTTGGTGTTGCCCGTGACCTTGTCCTTGGCATCGCGCGCCTTCTCGGCCACCTTGCTCGACATGTCGGACGCCTTGTCCTTAAGCTCGTGCGCTTTGTCCGACGCCTTCTCGTGGAGTTCGCTGGCCTTGTCACTGGCCTTGTCGTGGAGCTCGTGTGCCTTGTCCGACACCTTGTCGCGCGCCGACGCCAGCTTGGAGGACGTGCTCGAGGTTGTGTCGCTTGTTGTGGTGGCTTCCGGCATGCTGGGTGAATTGAATTCTGAGCTCTTGAAAGCGTTGGCGAGGTCAACTGGGAAGAAGGCAGGAATAGTCCGTCGACCCGCCCGTTGTCGCGAGGATTGTCAAACGCACCGTCGGACAGTTGGCGCGTCCCAAGGATGACCCCGAGTGATCGCACCGTTGAGAACGCCACTTCCCCGGTGTGGGCCGACGACAAATCCAATTGCAAGATGCGACTTGATCAGAAGTCAACAGGACGACGACTGGCAGTTAATAGTCCAGACCATCTTAAGTATGCAGGATACGATAACGTATACCAAGGACTCGCTTTAACGAGCGTGGCACGCCGACGCCGCGCTATAGCAAGCGAGAAGGCACAGTGGGAGATCTAATGACGTGGCAGCCAGACAGCTCTCCCCGTTACAACGACGCACGGGAAGGTGTTCTCAACGGTGCGATCACTCGGCCGTTGACGGAGCCATCCTTGGGACGCGCCACATGTTCGACGGCGCGTTTGACAATCCTCGCGACAACGGGCAGGTCGACGGACTACTCCTGCCTTCTCCCCAGTTGGCCTCGCCATTGCTTTCAAGAGCTCAGAATTGAATTCACCCAGCATGCCGGAAGCCACCACGACAAGCGACACAACCTCGAGCACGTCCTCCAAGCTGGCGTCGGCGCGCGACAAGGTGTCGGACAAGGCACACGAGCTCCACGACAAGGCCAGTGACAAGGCCAGCGAACTCCACGAGAAGGCGTCGGACAAAGCGCACGAGCTCAAGGACAAGGCGTCCGACATGTCGAGCAAGGTGGCTGAGAAGGCGCGCGATGCCAAGGACAAGGTCACGGGCAACACCAAGGCCAGCGACAGCACCACCAACCCGAATTAGGCGGGTCTGCGATCCACCCCGCCACCATGTGTCTCGACACGGTCTCGTAGCAGCAACGATTCTAGTAGCAGAAGCTAAACATGAGTCGTTAATGCACAAGATTGACACACTTGACGTCTTGCAGACACGGCAGCGTGCGAAAAGGTGTTCACCAAGCGCAGCTGGACGCCAACACTGTCTGGGTCCTAGGCAGAAGTGCACGACTAGTTCTCTTGCAGGCTCGCTTTTCCTGCGCCATTGCGCCACAAAAAGGCTACGCTGGGCGAGCTACATATGGTCCTTTGCCCTCGCCCACGGGCCTTTCATTCCAATGGGACGGCGCGACCGGTGTGCTCAACGCGGTTCGCTTTGTCGGCTTGCACACGTGCGAACGCCGATCTCGCCGATCTTGCAACACATATGCTTACTGCCTCTGCGCTGCACGCCGTATCGTCGCCGACGGTCCATGGAGGCCTTGCCGCGATCCTCCACGTACAACACTGGTTGCATCCTCTGCTGCGATTGACAAACAACATGTGATTGAATGGTGTGTTCATCTTACAGATACAGGATGGGTTGGACACTTCTAGCGCTGGTCCAAGAGCACACACAGGGGCTCGAGCGCCAGCCACGCAAAGCTGCGGTACGGTGTCGTGCCTTCATCGTACGTGTTGCCCACATAGTACCACGCCGACGCCTTTTGTAAGACGACCAAGTCACTCGGCGCCTTGGCCTCGAGGCCGCGCCAAAACACTCTCGCGTAGTGCTCTTGCACAAACCGCACGGCCACGCGGATGCGCTCGACCGCGTCGTCGGCCGGGTCCAGTCGCTCAGCCCGACCCACCTTGCGCGAGAGCTTTTGGATGTAGCCCGAGATGAGCTCGACCTCGGTGCCGATACCGTACTGCTGGCAGAGCGTGAAGAGCGCGTGGGCGTACTGCACAAACCAATGGCGCGCGTCCGACACGTGGGCCTCGTACCCGGGCACGACCACACTCCAGTCGACGCCGCCGCCAGTCGGTTGCGGACGCAACGCACCGACCGCGACTGACGGTACAGAATGCCAATGGCCGTCTTGGACTTGTACGAGAGGCCCGAGCGCTCCATAAAGTCGGGGTACGCCGGCACTTCGAACGTCGGTGTCCGCGCAGCGGTACCCGCCTTTGCAAAATCCACGGCAATCGCGTGTGCGTGGGCAAGGTCGAGCGCCCGATTGTCGTGGGCTCTGTCGCGACTCGCGTCAGCGACGGCGAGATGCATGTTGGCAATCATGCCCAAGTTGTCGTGTTCGAGAAACCGGACAAAGTGGTCCTGGATACCCTAACCACTCTCGGCATTTAGTTTCATGCGATGTGAGATTGCAGTTGCACCTGGATGCCGGGGGCGGACGACGGCGGTGGAATGCCCCATGAGGTTGGGGGCGGGTGCATCGGTGGCACATCCTGCGCCGGCACGAGGCGGTGGTCCCAGAGACAAAAGTACAGATCGCCATCCAAGTCCCCTCCCGACATCATGTCGGTCACGGGTCGGTCCCCGCGCGACGAGAAGACCAATACGTCATAGAGATGGTGGAGCGCCGGGACATCCGCGTAGTATGTCAGAATCCGAAGGTCGCCCGGGTGGAGACTCGGGTTGCGGCCGACGACGCAGCGCGTGCCAAGTGCCGGCGGCGTGATCGCATAGCGAGACATGTTACTCGACTGGAAAAAGACGCAGCCTTCGGGCAGCGTGTTGGTCTCGTCAAGCACACCCATGAGAACAACACCGTCAAACACGCGGATGCGCGACCGAAACTTGACGTTGTTGTACACGTGTCGGCGTAGCATGTGCAGCCAGTCGGCGACAAAGGGGTCCTGCACCGAGACGCCCACCTCGAGCAGCTTCACAATCGTCGCTTTCGGTGCATGCGACTGGACAAACTGGATGGCTTTGGCGTGTGTCTTGAGAGGCGCTGCCGTGTCGCGCAACGTCTCGTGGGCGACACTCAAAATCGCCTTGCTCTTGATGCCACGCGTCAAGAGGAGCGTGATGAGCTGCCGGTTGAGGTACGCCGGCAGTGTTTGCGGCACGCTGCAAACCTCGATTTGGTTGTGGTCAGACACAAACTTGAGCATCGAGATGCGCAGCTGCATGTCGGCAACGGTTCGTTGCCCCCAGATGTCGACCGGACACTTCTCATAGACGGCGACGACGCCTTTTCCGCCGCCGTACCGAATTTGAAACGCCGACGGCACGTCCTTGAGCCCGAGGCTGGTCGCGATGGTGGTGGCGAGGGCCGGCGAGATAAAGCCAATGCCATCGGAGAAGATGCGGCCGTTGCGCACCATGTCGGGGCCAACGGCATGCTCAAACGAACGCATCCGGACCGTCGGCGTCGTCGTGCTAAACGCTTGACCGAGTCGGGCGCCGCGCTTACTGCCCGATGGAATCGAGTCCAAGACGCCAATCGAGGCGTAGATCGACGCTGCTGTCGGTACGCCAACGGTTCCAATGGGTGGATCCCGGTAAAACCAGCAGCTGTGCACGCGCAGTTGCGAGCTCGAGTACCCGAGAAAGACGTACTTTTCGCCACCGACGACGAGACCATGCCGAAGAATAGCCGCGATGCGATCGAGGATCCGAGGACTCTTGGCGCCGTGCAGCGGGCCAAACTCCTCGTCCACAAAAGTGACGCGGAGGAACCGGTCCACGTGCTGGGCATACTGGCGCAAGACGCGGTTCGAAGCGTCGACCTGCGGCGGTTCCGCGACGATGCGTAGCGGCGTCACAAGCACCCGACGCACTTCTGGCATCGTCGCTGGCGTCATTTCGTCGGCGTTCACGGGTGTCGTCGACGTCGGTGTCAGCATCAGCTCGACGTTTTGGCGGTGGCGCGGCAGATTCGAGAGCCAATTGCTAAAGGCTTGCAGATCCGGTGGCCCGTCGACCGGCGCACGCAGCGACGAGTACAGAAAGCCGAGAACGTCGGTCGACGACGCCATCGAGTAGTCGAGCATTCGTGCCACGTACTCGGCGTCGCCGAGGCTCGTGACGACCAACGCCTCTTGCGACATGAGGACGTGCAGCGCATACCGCAGTGGAAACGAAACGTGCTGCAGCTCGGACGCATGACCGTACGCCCAGTCGGTCGGCGGCGACGGCAGCACGCCGGTGTACACCGGTAGCCTGTCGTCGCGCGCCACGTCTGCGAGGCCAAAGTTCCGGAGCATGGTGGCGACGGTGTCGGGTGAGACGCCTGGTTCGAGCACGAGATGGTAGCATCGGCAGTGACCAAACACACCGTTGGGCGACGGATCGTCCGATCGTTCCCACTTGAACGCAGCGTCGGCGATCGGCCAGATGCGGTCTTCGTCGGTCGCGGTCCGATCACCGACAAACACCAACGGCGGCGTCCGCAACGTGAACCGGACAACCACGCAATAGTCCTCGTCCCATCCGACGCGGCAACGAACAACGTCGGTGACCTTGAAGGAAATCCGGTAGCGGTCGTCGTCGTTGTAGTCGTCGTCAAAAGCAATCGCAAAAGTCGTCGCGTCCGTACTCGACGTCGTCAGTGTGACAGCGTCGAAGGCGGCAAAGGCGGGCTCGTCGCTCGCCGCGGTTACAAGCACGTAGAAGGCCTGGCAGGCCAAGAGATTGCTCATGACGTCGGTGCACGCAGACCGACCGACGGCCGCAGCGTCGCGCACGCGAATGACCTCGCCCTGCCAGTAGATGCCGTCGAGGGCCAAGACAAGGGCGTGGAAGAGGCGCGACGCCATGAACACCTTAGATCGACCTCGCCGTCTGGGATGGTACGGGGCCATGCTCACCGAGAGGAAGCCGCCATACATGTTGGTGCACTGCCGGCAAAACCTGGCGACGTCGGCCGCCGTCGCATCCGACGGGACGTTGTTGACGGTCGCGGCAAAGACGTCGGTGGTACTCGAGACGGCGCGGGCGAAGTTGTTGCTGTAGGCGGTGGCACGGTCGTGCTCACGCCGCGCCGCCTCACGGGCTTGCGCTTGCGCCTCGATCAGCTCCACCGTGAGCATCGACGAGCCTGATTGGGCGCGCGACGGTGCGCTGCGATGCCATTGGTGCGCACGTGATTTTCGATCCGCCAATCACAAGACGCTATTGCTTTGCAACCAATCAACAACGTGCAGGATTCGGGACGAGGACGAGAATGGCGGCGATCCGGCCGGAAAAAGAGGAGGAGCTCGAGCGCCAGCCACGCAAAGCTGCGGTGCGGAAGCAGCCCTCGTAGCTACACGTGGTGCGTATAGCCCATGTCGTACCACGCCGACGCCTTGCGCAAGGCGACCAAGTCACTCGGCGTCTTGGCCTCGAGGCCGCGCCAAAACACACACGCGCATAACGTTAGTGCTCTTGCACAAACCGCACGGCCACGCGGATGCGCTCGATCGCGTCGTCGGCCAGGTCCAGTCGCTCGGCCCGTCTCGAGTGGCGCCGATGTCTAATGTGATGAGGATGCGAGCTCGCGGAGCCAAGAGGAGCTTTCAAGCCTCCAGTTGCAACTCGTTTTCTGCTTCCCTATCCTGCACGAATTGATGGGCGACTCGGATAAGCTTCTTGGCTGCTGCTTCCACGAGCACGCTTCACCAGGTGGACTAGAGATTTATCCTTCTCTGGCTTACTTGTGCTTACGCCTCAAGTAGCTCGACCTTGCCCGAGAAGCGGCCGCACTCCGATCCTGGTTGCGTTTGGAGGCAAATCGCTTATCAGCTTTGTCGCGAGCGGCGCGTCGCCAGCTCTCGTATAGCTAAGCGACGTACTTTTTTTTACATTTCTGGCTCGTAAGAGTCATGGGTGCTTGCGGCCCTCCCGCGATGGCGTTCTGAGAATTCGACATTTAGTATTACATTCATCAACAAGTAGCTTGTGGCGCACTAGAAGTCGAAAAGCCCGGCTTGGACACACTCGAAGTTACCCACCCATTCGCGATGTGCAAGGTCAATAGATCAAGAACACGACCAACTTGGGTGCGTCGCCAACGACTGGCTAAGCCATTGATTGAAAGCCAGATTCACCACATGGCACCACGGCTGGTAGCGTGATCGACGAGCTGCACCCGCAGATCCAGTCGCCACCTGCTGCTGACGTCTTGCCCACGTAATATTCCGATTCGTTGCCTTTTAACGCGCACGCCAAACAGGTAAAACCTAGTGGAGGCGTTGGCGTCGTGGCGACGAAATGAAAATCACGAGCGATGCCACGACCAAGGCCACCAAGGGCACCTGTCCCGTGATGATGCGTCGCCCATCAACACTGAAAGCCTGGAACGCGCTGGAACACTGCCGATGCATTGGTACCGGCGGTATCACGAGCTTCGTCTACCTTGATCTCGCGGCGTGGTCGATAGCATGTCCTACCTACCACCATGCAAAGACACCTTGTGGTCAGTGGCGCACGACTTTGGACACCGCGTCTCGACAGTCCATCGACCATGCCCACATACGAGGTTGGAAGATTGAAGCCGACGGTATGCTCCATGAGTGGGCCTCAATGTGCTGCTCCGTCACGTGACCACAACGTAGGTCATTGAGATCGTCGCTACGGACGACCGCTACGGACGACAAGACGATTAGAAAGGCGATTGCATGCCACGCGTCAATAATGTCAGCGTCTGTCCGTGTCTTAACAAGAAGAATGATCACGAGTCACTCGTCGCACCGCGCTGAGTGTCCGCGAGCAAAACTCAGGGTGAGGTGCGTGCATGCCTCCATGTCGATCCAGGAGGCATCGTGTGGGCCCATAATGGTGTGGGCCAGCAACGTTTTCGTCGCACGACGTTTAATAACGACGTCGGACGTTTAACGCGGTGCTAACACCACCAGCTGCCGGCTGATATTCTCAGAAGTTCAAGCAGCTGGGATCGTCCACGTTTTCTAGAAGTCGAAAGAACCAGCTGGGATGCGCCTTTACGAGCCGATCCTGGACGCTCCGCGAAACACCGAGTACCTTAGGTCCAGTGCGGTTCCACTGCATTGCTTCGACGGTCCACGCCGCCCGCTTTGCATTGCTTCGACGGTCCACGCCGCCCGCTTCGCTCTCCATACCCGTGGATGTCGTTGGAAGCCCTGGGCATGTATCGAACGACTGCATTACGCCATCACGCCATCACGCGCGGCTTTGGTGAGGGCCGTGTCATCCAGGTATCTCACGGTAACTTCAAGTAGGTGCCTTGCAATAATTCTATTGCATGCCAATTGAAATTGCCCTTTGGAATAGCAATCGTCTTGCAATATCAATGGTACACTGTCGAAGGTAGTCAGAGGTCAGCCACGTGGGTCCGTAGAAAGGGCGACTCGACAACGAACAAAGCAGCGGCGAGCACCAGCCGCTAATAGGGGTTGTAATCGCTTCAACAAAGCCAACCAACCGTCTCCACCACCAAGACCTCGCATTTCATTTTGCATTTGGCCGCCAACCTCACAACAACCACAGCAGCACACGTACAATGGCCGTCTACCATGCGATGGAACCCGAGCGCGCGCCAAAGTCGACGACGCGCAAGATTCTGACGTCGTTGACCTTTTGGATCATCCTCGGCACGATCATCGGCGTCCTCATCGGCGAGTTTGCACCGGATTTTGGCAAGGACGCGGCGCCCATGGCCCAGATCTTCCTGCGTCCGATCCAGTTCATCGTCTTCCCGCTCGTCTTTTCATCGCTCATTGTCGGTATCGCTGGCAACAACGACCTCAAGCAGCTCGGCCGCCTCTCGCTCAAGTCGTTCATCTACTTTGAAATCGTCACGACGCTGGCGCTCATTGTCGGGCCTCCTCGCCGTCAACTGGGGTCCCAGCCGGGCAAGACGGGCATCACCAAGAAGGGCAACGTACACGGGGTCGCCGTCGTCCACCTTTACGTTTGCCCATTGGATCAACCATTTGACGCCCAAGACGTGGGGCGAGATGATGGGCGGCTCGGGCAGCTCGGAGCTCCTCCAAGTGCTCGTGGCCTCGATCCTTGTGGGTGTCGCCACCGCGCAGACCCCACGGCCACCACAAGCAAGTGCTCCTCGAG